TTAAAAAAAAATTTGTCTCTTTTCTATTGACTCTACCTCATATATTTTTAGTACCTAGTTTAAGTGATATATATTTAAACTTTTTTATTTAAAGTTTTACACTATTTGCTATATCTTTATCTAGTGTTTCACAAAATATCTAGGTCTGTTGATGAACCAATTTCGGGTTTATGGTTTTATCAGAATTGATATGATTTCAGACTTATACAGAGGTCCACTCAAGTAATACCTGGTCTGGTTTATTAAAATACCAATTGGCTAATTTTGATTTTTTTTTTTTTTTTAAAAACCAAGCTTAATTGAGCTAAAATGATCAAAACAAACAAAGAATACTATTTTGCATTCTAATATATAATAAAGACTTTTTATAAATGTGATTCAATAATGATAGAAAAAAATAAAAAACTTGCACTTAAACTTGCAGTTTAAAAACTTTAAAAAAAAGCCACACTTAAAAAAAAAAAAAAATTTAAATATAATAAATACTTGTGTTTAGAAAGCACTTTTTTTTATCAAAATATAGTTTTTTTTCTTAATATAAAAAACTTATACTTTAAACTTTCTCAATCAATGTTATTAATTCTCAAGATAAATTTGAAGAACCATATCAGAGTAAATTATACTCAGATAATTTATGTTTTGACAAATCTTACTTGCATCAAGATGAATCTTACCAAGGCAATTTATACCAAGATAAGTTATATCAAAATAAATCAAGCAAAAATGATTTAACTGAATTATCATCCCAAGTAGAATTTTCACTTGTAATAAAGTAAATGAAATGTAATATATACAAAAGATTTACTTTAAAATATATATATCAAATATATATATTTTTTATTTATTGGCTTTTTATTTTATAGATCTATAGCATAGAGGTATTTTACAAAGAAAAAAGGTAGTACCACATGTAGTATTTGCAAAAAGCTACAGGCCTATAACAATAGAATAGTGTCAAATCTTTTAAAACATCTCAAAATATATAAAGTGTCTAAACTGAATGACTCAAATATAAAAAATAGTCCTAGTGTTTTGAATATATTAAAACCCGTCTAGCAGCCAAATTTGCTTGCTAAAATTTTTTTTTTTGTAAATTTGTAATTACAAAAAAATTTATTATACTTCTTTATTTCTAAGCTAAAATAAAAATTTGAGTTATAATTAGTTATAATCTTGTAAAATTTATAATTTAATTTTGAATAAATACATATCTCGCACCCTGTGATATGCTTATATATCACACTTAAATATGATTGGCTAATTTTGCAGATCATTATTTTGTAAAAAAATAATTTTCTATTGTTTTTTTTAAATTAAAGAAATCTTATAAAAAAATCAAGAAAAACATTACTATTTTTTGCATTTATATGCAAAATTTGATGTTGAACAAGTTTATTTAAAAACTTTAAAAAGGTTAGCATGATAAAATTTAAAGATATTTGCATTTTTTTTTTATATTTTTTGCATATTTTTTACATTTTCTCTAGATTTTATTATGTTAATATCTTTTTTGTTTCTAATTAAACTTGTTTAGCATCAACTTTTG